CATCTAAGAGCCTGAGTGGAGAAGCCTTTGGTTGACACCTTGAGGGGCCATGGCACAGCGGCAGAGCCTCTGCTTGGCATGCAGAAGGTCCCAGGTTCGATCCCTGGCATCTCCAGATAAAAGGAGCAGGCAGGAGGGGATGGGAAAGACCTCAGCCTGAGAACCTGGAGACCCATGGAGAGGGGCTGTGGCTCAGTGGTAGGCATGCAGAAGGTCCCAGGTTCGATCCCCGGCATCCCCAGATAAAAGGAGCAGGCAGGAGGGGATGGGAAAGACCTCAGCCCGAGACCCTGAAAAGCCTTAGCTATTGGAATGTTTAGCCTGCCTAAACTGGCTCAGTGGTAGAGCTACTGCATGGCATGCAGAAGGTCCCAGGTTCAATCCCTGGCATCTCTAGTTAAAAGGATCAAGAGGAAGGTGATGGGAAAGACCCTAACCTGCGACCCTGGGGAGCTGCTGCCAGTCAGAGTAGACAATACCGGATGGACCAGAGGTCTGATTCAGTGTACGACAGTGTCATACAACTTTAGTTACAAGCTCTCACCCACGCCCCATCCTCTGTTGCCACTCATATCCTAGTAGCTTTCGAAATGCGATAATCTCTATCTGTCATGCTGACGTTTTGAGAGTTCTGGAGGAAGGAGCCGTGGCTCAATGAGAGAACATCTGCCTGGCATGCAGAAGGTCCCGGGTTCAATCCCCGGCAGTCGGAAATGCTGCGTCCAAAAACAGATTTGCTGTGTCAGTCCCTGCCTGAGACCGACAACTCACCCAGCCTAACAGCCCCATCGTAAAGATAGAGGAATGACATCAAAATCCACCAATCAGAAACAAACAAACCATCTGGACCTTAGGAACTACCATAGTTCAACCAGGTCAGTGCTCTGTACGAAGAAAAAAAGAAGGTTCCACTAACATTCTGATGTCTGGCACAAATTTGCACATGAATGCATGCTTAAATATATCCTGGATTTATTTATTCATTCATTCATTCCTTTCTTCACATTTAGAAGAGAGAGGAAGAAGAGATTGGATTTATCCCCTGCCTTTCACTACCCAAAGGAGTCTCAGAGCGGCTTACAAACTCCTTTCCCTCCCCTTCCCCACCACAGACACCCTGTGAGGTAAAAGAAGAAGAAGAAGAGATTGGATTTACACCCCGCCCTTCACTACCCAAAGGAGTCTCAGAGCGGCCTACAAACTCCTCTCCCTTCACCTCCCCACAACAGACACCCTGTGAGGTAAAAGAAGAAGAAGAAGAGATTGGATTTATACCTCACCCTTCACTACCCAAAGGTGCCTCAGAGCGGCTTGCAAACTCCTCTCCCTTCACCTCCCCACAACAGAGACCCTGTGAGGTAAAAGAAGAAGAGATTGGATTTCTACCCCGCCCTTCACTTGGAGTCTCAGAGCGGCTTACAAACTCCTTTTCCTTCCCCTCCCCACAACAGACACCCTGTGAGGTGGGTGGGGCTGAGAGAGCTCTTGACAGAAACTGCTCTTTTTTCAAGAACAGCTCTTATCAGAACTACGGCTCACCCAAGGTCATCCAGCAGGTGCACGTGGAGGAGTGGGGAATCAAACCCGGTTCTCCCAGATTAGAGTCCGCGCACTTAACCACTACACCAAACTGGCTCACCCTTCCCAGAAGTGGGCTCAGGGCCCTTCATCTCTACATGCAGCATGTGGCAAAATCCAAAACCACAGTTTTATTTGGTAACATGAGTTAATCATTTGCTTGAGGTCACGACCAAGAGATCTTAATTACTGCTTATAAAAAATATAAGACAGCTAATCTGAAAAAGAAAGAAAGCATTTTCCAGGTGACCCTGATGACAAATGATGGATTTGTAGAGATGGTAGCTATCCATTAACCAGGGATTGACCAGCAGCACAGAATCCTTATGTATGTGCCATCAAGTTGCAACCAACTTTTTGGAGACCCGGGCAAAGGACTTTGGAGGCTGTAATGATTTCATGTTTTGGTGTGTCTGTTTCTTTAAATGTTGAGTTTGACTGCCGTACTGTAAGAGGGACACATGTGTGATGTGATTGGCTGATGACTGAGAGTGTGGGAGGAGGGTTGCCTGTGAATGATTCGATGATATATGAGAGACAAGTATGGAAGCATTTTGAAGAGAGTCTGTGTGACTCTGAGATGTTTTATGACAGAGTTCTGTGTGTGAAGTTGAAGAGACGGTATGGTCTGTGTGACTATGGAATATTGCTTCTATTCTGTGTGAATAAGGCAAACAGTTTAGTCTGAGTGACTATAAGAGCTGATTCTGTTCTGGGTGAATAAGACAAGGAGATTAGCCTGTTTGGCTCTCTCTCTATATATATGCAATATATATGCAATATATAGGCAATATATATATATAAGAGAGAGAGAGAGAGAGAGAGAGAGATTATACTGAGAGCCTATGCCTGTCAGAGTGAAGTCTGTGTGACTGTTTGTAACACCAAGTTTTGCCAGTTATATTTACAAGGTTTTTTTTCAGTAACAGTTCAAAATAACCTGAAACCTATCTTGCCTTTACTAAATAAATCAATTTTTATTTAAGCTTATCCCAGCAACCAGTACAGTCCTTCCTCAGAGCCACATAGTCCTCTGAAGTACCCAGACCCTAGGTCATTCTACCAGCAGAGAGACAGATTTGGATTTTTTAATTCCTGGTGACAGCAGAAAACTATCAAGTTCATATACACAGAGACTGTTTAAAGATAAAACCATTTCCCCTATAAGCAAGAACGTCACAGAGGCAATTGAGAAACAGAGGTGGTTGGCCATTGTCTTCCTCTGCAGAGTCTTCTTCAGTGGCCCCTCATCCAAGTACTGTTGGAGTCAGTGTCCCCTCTAAGCTGTGTTTGTGTGAGCTAGCTCACAGTTCTTTAGCCTCCGGCTCACACATTTGTTGTCTCGGCTCAAGAAGGAGGGCTCCAGAGCAAACTGATTTATGCAGCAGCCCAATCGCTCACTCACCACTTTAATGCCAGTCGTTCACAGAGTAGAATTTTTGCTCCACAGGGCTCCAGAGCTTAGAGAGAGCGTCGGCTGGGGTCCCCCAGTGGTCCCCCATCTGCTCAGTCTCCAAGATCTGATGACAATGGGATACATGATACCATCCCACATCCCCACAGTACCACTGGTGGTGGTGGAAAGTGCCCTCAAGCTGCGGCTGACTTAGGGTGAGCCCATAGCTTTTTCAAGGCAAGACACGATCAGAGGTGGCTGGCCATTGCCTGCCTCTGCGTATCAACCCTGGACTTCATTGGCCCCCGTTAGTCTCACCCAAGTACTCACCAGGGCCAACCCTGCTTAGCTTCCAAAATCTGACAAGATCGGGCTAGCCTGGGCCGTCCAGGGCAGGGCCCGGTACCATTACACAGCATGAATCCCCCTTCAGGGTAGGCCCAAATGCTGCTCTTACTGGTAGGAATGCTACACTCTGGTCGATTTCAATTAATCACACAACTGATTCCAGAGTATGTTTACAAAGAGGTCAGTCCAACATTGCATAAGAACGTAAGAGAACCCGTGTTGGATCAGCCCAATGGCCCATCCAGTCCGACGCTCTGTGTCACACAGTGGCCAAGAATACCAGGTGCCATCAGGAGGTCCACCAGCAGGGCCAGAACTCCAGAAGCCCTCCCACTTTTGCCCCCCAAGCATCAAGAATACAGAACATCACTGCCCCAGACATAAGAACATAAGAGAAGCAGGGGTCATTTCCTGTAGGAGCGCACAGGAGCGGAGCTCCGGCAGTAAAGAGCCCAGGGGGCGGGCACATGCAACAAGCTCCAGCCCCTGCTCCTAGCAGCCCTCAGTCAGAGCAAGAAGCAGCCAGGTGAGTTATAGAGCTTTCCCCGGCCCAAAACAGTCCAGTGGCACCTTTAAGACCAAGTGTTATTCAGGTACAAGCTCTCCCTCCTCTGCGAGGACAGATCTGCACGTCCCCCTGTTGGAATAAGTATTCAGCATGCGTGATGTATATGTGTATTAGATCATGCCAATCTAGATGACAGGTGTCAGAGTGACTGTCAGTCCAGGTAACCAGACCAAACCGGTTCTGGCTGGTGCAATGCTGATCTGTAATCTGAGTGACTCAGCAGAAATATGATTGGCTGTTCAATGTATATAGCTGTGTGTGATCTGTACACTGTGTGCTTATTCGTATGTTGACTGTCTGGCGAAGCACTTTGCCAGTGTGAGCTGTGATCTGTAAATAAACTTCACTGTATATAGTTGACCACTAAGTACTGAGTCGGTGTGGTTTACTACAGTGGGACTTCAGCAGGGTGCAACTGGATTATTGGTTTGAAAACGGTGACCTGGGGATGCCAGGAGCGCACTCCGCGACACCCCCCCCCAATAGCTAGCAATCCAAAACAGTCCAGTGGAGCCTGAGCGGTGGGTGTTGCCTTCTGACACACTTCCGGTGATGTCAGGGGGTGTGACATATGCAAATAAGTTATGCTAATGAGTTATGCTAATGAGCTCCTGCACCTCTTTTCCTACAAAATGACCCCTGAAGAGAAGCCATGTTGGATCAAACCAATAGCCCGTCCAACAGTCTGTGTCACACAGTGGCCAAAACCCAGGTGACATCAGGAGGTCCACCAGTGGGGCCAGAACTCCAGAAGCCCTCCCACTCTTGCCCCCCCAAGCACCAAGAAGACAGAGCATCACTGCCCCAGACACAGTGTTCCATCTGCACCTTGTGGCTAAGAGCCACTCATGGACTTCTCGGCTCCATGGGACTTATTCTCATGTACACGTTCCTACAACCGCAGACACCTGACTCACAGGCCTTACACCTGCTTTGCATGCAGAAGGACCCCGGTTTAATCCTCAGCATCCCCAGTTCAAAGACTCTCTGGCAGCAGGCACTGAGAAAGACCCCTCCTCTACCGAAGACCCTGGACAGGTTCCACCAATCAGAGAAGACCGCGTTGAGCTAGAAGGACCAATGGTCTCAGCAGAAGCCTTTGGTACTCACCAGTGTGTTCGAAGAGTTGTAGTCCTCTGTGAGTTTATCTGGAAGAAGAAGAAGAAAAGAAATTATTAGCCTTATCTGCTACGCGTAAGATCAGCCGCTCAAGAGATGTCCAATATTAAAAAATGAGAGCAGCAATCAGTGCTGCTCACTTCCCGTTGGAGACGGAGACATACAAAGCCCTTCTTCCAGACCCATGCATCAAAATGACCTTCAAGAATCAGGGTTGGAAATTCAGTGTTCCCTCTAAGCTGAGTCAGTGTGAGCTAGCTCACAGTTTCTTAGCCTCCGGGTCCCACATTTTTGTCTCAGCTCAGGAAGGGGAGGGCTCCAGAGCAAACTCATTGATGCAGCAGCCAAATCGCTCGCACACAACTTTCATGCCACTAGCTCACAAAGTAGCATTTTTGCTCACAAGACTCGACAGCTTAGAGGGAACATAAAGGCAAAATGTCGATTGTGTTCGGGGTGCTGGAAAGCGCCGTCAAATCACAGCAGACTTACGGCAACCCTTCACGGGGTTTCCAAAAGAAGAGATGAACAGAGTCGGTTGGCCGTTGCCTGCTGTAGTATGAATGGGAATATAAAGAATTACATATATAGGTTTTTCCTTCTTGATTGTTCATATTCATATTTCTCTGGTTTTTATAGATTTATTCTTTAAGTAATATTTTATTAGGATGTTCGAAAGGCCTGTTATATAGAAGGCTTTCCTCTTGTAGGTCTGATATTGCTAGCAGACAACATAATCGGTACAAAGTTCATGATTCTGTAGTTCTTAGGGCAAACCTTTCAATGTCTGGGTCAGATAGGATTTTAGCCTCGTATCAGTAATGAATACTTTTGTTTGGGGAAGAACAAGCTTTAGCCGATATGCCTTAGGTCATGTCAAGTAAATATGTGACGCTATTGCATAGGCACACCTTTCTTAAAAGGTAAAGGTAAAGGTAAAGGTTCCCTTGCTCGAAAGCCAGTCGAGTCCGACTCTAGGGTTGCGGTGCTCATCTCCGTTTCAAAGCCGAAGAGCCAGCGCTGTCCGAAGATGTTTCCGTGGTCATGTGGCCGGCATGACTAAACACCAAGGCACACGGAACGCTGTTCCCTTCCCACCGAAGTGGTACCTATTTATCTACTTGCAATTTCTTGCTTTCGAACTGCTAGGTTGGCAGGAGCTGGAACTAGAGACAGGAGCTCACCCCGTCTTGCGGCACCCGGGTCTTGAACTGCTGAACTACCGACCTTCCACAGCCTGCAGTTCAGCGTCTTAACCACTTGAGCCACCGCACACCTTTCTTACATTTGACCAACAAGGAGATTTTTGTGTAAATGTTGTTTAAGTTTTTGTAACCAATTATGCCTTTTGAATATTATTCCCATGATGATGGTATGATGGTGTCATTTTAAGTATTTGACTTTATGTATTTCCTGAATATGTCCAGAATATGCTCAAGAAGAAGATGAAGAAGAAAAAGAAGAAAGTTGTCAATTTCTGGTTAACTATTTGGTCTAATTGTTTTTCTATTAATTGAGGCATGTTTCCTAATTATGCTGAGAAGAAAGCAATCAGTTTTGATGGGTCCTTTGGCCTAAGTGTTTTCCATATTTCATTACAATAAAATACAAGAACATCCTCCTCATTTTGATTTCATTTTTGACATGGAATCTAATAATTACAACACTGCCCCTGCATAGCGACCCTGGACTCCCTTCGCGGTCACCCAACCCAAGGACTAACCAGAACTGGCCCTTCTTAGCTTCCGAGATCTGCTGAGATCCAGCTCGCCTGGGCCATCCAGGTCAGGGAAGAAGGAGGAGGAGGAGGAGGAGGAGACTGGATTTATACCCCGCCTTTCACTAGGAGTCTCAGAGCGGCTTACAAACTCCTTTCCCTTCCCCTCCCCACAACAGACACCCTGGGAGGCAAGTGGGGCTGAGAGAGCTCTTGACAGAAACTGCCCTTAAGAGAACAGCTATGACAGAACTTATGACTGACCTAAGGTCATCCAGCAGCTGCAAGTGGAGGAGTGGGGAATCAAACCCGGTTTGGTGTAGTGGTTAAGTGTGCAGACTCTAATCTGGGAGTACCGGGTTTGAAATGGAATTAGATAAGCATCAAAATGGAATTAGATAAGCATATGGAGCATTAGACGGCTTCAAAATGGAATTAGATAAGCAAATGGAGCAGAGGTCCATCAGTGGCTATTAGCCACAAGGGATAGATAGGAACTCTGGGGCAAGTGATGCTCTGTCTTCTTGGTGCTTGGGGGGGTCAACAGTGGGAGGGCTTCTAATGTCCTGGCCCCACTAGTGGACCTCCTGGTGGCACCTGGTATTTCTGGCCACTGTGTGACACAGAGTGTTGAACTGGATGGGCCTTTGGCCTGATCTAGCATTGGCGTCTCTTATGTTCTTATGAGAGAGAGAGAGAGAGAGAGAGAGAGAGAGAGAGAGAGAGAGAGAGGTGGCATCAGCTTCCGACTTTCGGCAACTGTATGAATTAATGTCCTCCAAAACGTTTTGGAGGACATTAATTTATAGGTTCTCCATAAGAACCGACTTGACGGCACTTCACCCACACACACAACTGTTAAGGACTGCACTGTTAAATTGCAAGAGACCTCTTGACTTTAATGAGATCAGCTAATTTAGGCTTCCTTTAAGCTATACGTTTAGAATTTCTAATCTGAGACTCCAGTTAGGTTTTTTTTTTGTTTTTTTAAATGAAGCAGCCAGACAGCCTGCCCAAAAAAGCAGGCACAGGGCAACATTTTCAATTTCCCCCAACCTTCTGCAAAATTGTCCCAAGCACTTGCTTAACCGTCACATGGGACAGTGGGCCAAAACAGAATTGCTTCCACAATCGCCAAGTGAGTCAGCCATCACGCATGCAATTATATACACATCCAAGATGGCCTTGCCAGCAAAGTAGGGCTGCCAAGTGGGGGCGGGGGGCGGATAAACCCCCGCTTCGGAGGCCCGATTCCTGCCGCCGCGGAATCGGGCCCCGGGGGGAACTCCGCCCCCCGAAGCGCAGCATGGCTGCGTCACCAGAGGTGATGCAACCACGTCAATCACGTTGGGGGCGTGGCCCCGATTGTCGGAGGGGAAACTCTATGGTTTTCCCTCCGACGATCGGGGCCACGCGTTCAACGTGATCGACGTTGCGCGTCACTTCTGGTGATGTGCTGGCGGCGTGCGCGCTTCGCACGCATCGACGGACGACTCCCGGAGCCCGGCGAGGTTCCCCCGCCGGTAAGAAATTTCGACTTGGCAACCCTACAGTGAAGGTATTTTGGAGCACCATCTTGGTTGTGGCTGGCCCTGACAAACTCAATTGAGGTGCAAAAAGAGACATGAAACAAAATGGCATCACCCATAATGCACAGCGTGAGGACAGCACAAGGCCCCAAAGTGTCTTTACAACATCATTCTACCCTAACAACATAAAAAGAGCCCTGCTGGATCAGACCAGTGAGGGTCCATCTAGTCCAGCATCCTGTCTCACATAGTGGCCAGCCAGTTCCTCTGGACGGCCAATCAAAGGGCATAGAGGCGGAGGCCTTCATAAGAACTTAAGAAGAGCCCTGCTGGAGCAGACCAATGGTCCATCTAGCCCAGCATCCTGTCTCATGCAGTGCCCAACCAGTTCCTCTGGAGGCCCAACAACAGTGGCAGAGAGGCCAAGGCCTTCACCTGATGTTGCCTCCCGGCTCTGGGATTCAGACGCTTAGTGCCTCTGAATGTGGAGGTTCCCTTCAGTCACCATGGGTAGCAGCCACTGATAGACTTCTCCTCCATGGATTTATCCAATCCCCTTTTAAAGCTGTTCCCACTTCCATGTTACCCTCACAACAAACCACCCTGTGAGGTAGGTTAGGCGGAGAGAGAGTCACTGGCCCAAGCGCCCCCCCCCCCCCAGCAACCTTCCACGGCGCAGTGGGGCTTTGGCTCTGAGCCAGCCAGTTCCTCTCCCGAAACTAGAATCACTACACCACCCAGGCTCTTGCAAAAGCTATTCATGCCCGATCCCAACGGCCTACCTGTGAAGCTCATATACTTCTGACTGTTGGAGGTCTTTTTCGAATTGTAGAACTCTAGCACGTCAAGGACGGCTTGAGGGTTCTTCTTCTGCTCCGACTTGGTGATATTCGAGGTCTGGAGCAAACGGGCCCACTGCTCCGGCATGCCCTGGGAAAAAGGGGAGAGCGGTTAGCATCCTCTGCTCTTCAGCGGACGAGAAAGACGGAGCCTCCCGCTTAAAACCAGACTGGGAGACTGGGGAGGGTTTCGGCTGTTGGCAACGGTGCAATGTCACTTCCTGTGGGGGGGGAGAGGGTCTGGGATGTGATGTCAGCCCTCCTAAGAGTTTGCCGGAACGTTATGGTTTTACCATAGCATTTCTGAAGATTCCGAGAGAGCTGTGATGTCACTTCCGGGATTTTCAGGAAGTGACATCAAGCCGCCGGCCATTTTCTAATTTTTCTCTCTCCTCCGCACAGGAGCTGGGAGCAGGGGATCCCTACCAGTGTTCCCTCTAAGCTGAGTCAGTGCGAGCCGGCTCACAGTTTTTTAGCCTCCAGCGCACACATTTTTTTTCTTAGCTCAGGGAGGATGGCTCCGGAGCAAACTGATTTATGCAGTAGCCAAATCGCTCGCTCACAACTTTTATGCCAGTAGCTCACAAAGCAGAATTTTTGCTCACAAGACTCCACAGCGTAGAGGGAGCATTGATCTCTACCCCTTTCTGGGGAGGCTGGTGACCAATGTTCCCACTAAGCTGTGGAGTCTTGTGAGCAAAAATTCTGCTTTGTGAGCTACTGGCATAAAAGTTGTGAGCGAGCGATTTGGCTACTGCATAAATCAGTTTGCTCCGGAGCCATCCTCCCTGAGCTAAGAAAAAAAATGTGTGCGCTGGAGGCTGAAAAACTGTGAGCTAACTCACATTAACTCAGCTTAGAGGGAACACTGCTGGTGACCCAGTTCCCCCCCCCATCCTCCTTACTGTGAATTCGCCCGTGACCGCATCAAATCCGACATGAATCGTGTGTTCAAAGTCTGAAGGCAGGGAGATTTCCGGCCGTTCTTTCTCCTTCTTTTTGTTGGCTGTTTGAAAAAGAAGAGGGGGGGGGGTGAAGAACAAAACCATCAAAAGACCAAAGTGGGCTACAGCGGCCGACAGTCCCTAAAGCATGGTTTCCCTGCTGGGCTCTGTATTCCGTTCCCTTTGGAAGGCAGAACCAGAGGGAAAAAAGCTGCTAAGCAAAGTGTCTGAGTCACCGGCATCTTCAGAAGCGAGTTAGCAGTGCCTGTAGGTTATCGAGAAGGGCAGCAGTGGCAAACTGGAAGACATTTGGCGCTTATTGCAATCCTAAAGTCAGTCTCCTGGAAGGAAGCCCCATTGGACAAGATGTATCTTATTTCCCCGGCAAATATTTGGATGGGAGACCTCCAGAGAATACCAGGGTCGGGAGGCCAGAGACAGTCCATCGTGCCGCTTCTCTGAATGTCCTCCGTGCCCAGCGTTCCCGCTAAGCTGAGTTAGTGTGAGCTAGCTCACAGTTTTTTAGCCTCCCACTCACACATTTTTGTCTTCGCTCAGGGAAGATGGCCCCAGAGGAAACTAATTTACGCAGCAGCCAAATTGCTCGCTCACAGTTTTAATGCCAGTAGCTCACACAGTAGAATTTTTGCTCACAAGACTCCACAGCTTAGAGGGGGCATTGCCCCAGTAGGAATCACCAGAGGTTCCCATTACTTCCACACACAGGAACCAGTGTTCCCGCTAAGCTGCGTTAATGTGAGCTAGCACACCATTTTCTAGCCTCTGGCTCACACATTTTTGTCCTAACTCAGGAAGGATGGCTCCAGGGCAAACTAATCTTTGCAGCTTAGAGAAGAAGAAGAGGAGAGGAGATTGGATTTATACCCCGCCCTTCACTACCGAAAGGTGTCTCCGAGCATCTTACAAACTCCTTCCCCTTCCCCTCCCCACAACAGACACCCTGTGAGGGGTGTGGGGCTGAGAGAGCTCTTGACAGAAACTGCTCTTTTTCAAGGACAGCTCCTTATCAGAGCTACGGCTTGCCCAAGGCCATCCAGCCAGGTGCAAGTGGAGGAGTGGGGAATCAAACCCGGTTCTCCCAGATTAGAGTCCGTGCACTCAACCACTACACCAAACATTGACGGGCACACATGAGTGCACGCACAGGCAAAAAACCCACACATGCAAAAAAAACCATATATATGGACTAATTAAACCCGGTGGGCTTGTAAATTTGGGGAGACTTGACGTACAGACTTCCCGGGCATATGGACAATTTATGAACACGTTGGCTCTGTGGGTCTGAAAATACATAGGGAGGGAGCAAAGATGAGATTCTATGTGCCCCCCATTGTCCATCACAAATGCAAAGAGATCTCCTGTATGCTATTATAGCGATCTCACAGTGCCAGGCACGAATGCAGAATCAAGATTATTTTTAATGTAATCAACAGATGACATAAACTATAGGCTAGTTTTTAGCCACTGGTTCCATCAGTGATTCTTTAGGACTGCCAGTTCTGTGCTGGGAAATACCTGGAGATTTAGGGGGTGGAGGCTGCGGGAGGGCGGAGTTAGGAGAGGGGCGGGGCCTCAGCAGGGTGTAATGCCAAAGAGCCCGCCCTCCAAAGCCACCATTTTCTTCAGGGGAACCTATCTTGGTCATCTGGAGATCAATTGTAACAGCAGGAGATCTCCAGGTGCCACCTGGAGGTAGGGTCGCCACATCTGGGTTGGAAAATACCTGGAGACTTTGGGGGTGGAGCCAGGAGAGGGCGGGGTTTGGGGAGGGGAGGGGCCTCGGCATGGTCCAATGCCACACAGCCCGCCCTCCAAAGCCACCATTTTCTCCAGGGGAGCTGATCTCTGTCAGCTGGAGGTCAGTTGTAAAAGCGGGAGATCCCCAGGCCCCACCTGGAGGCTGGCAACCCTACCAGGAGGGCAGCAACCATATTCCATACCCTTTAATCCACTACCAATGGATTGGTGACAAGGTGCTTTATGATGTTCCAGTTTTAATTGTTAGCCGCCTTGAAGGCCCCGACTAGGCCAGAAAAGTCAAAATACAAGTTTTGCAAATGAATAAAACTAGAACCAGGGCTATTTTTGGGCAGGAACGCACAGGAACGGAGTTCTGGCTGGCTCCCAAGTTGACCACGCCCAGCAGGAACTCATTAGCATAATAGGCCACACCCAACAGCAGAAACTCGTTAGGATTGGCTACATTAGGGGTGTGTGGCCTAACATGCAAAGGAGTTCCTGCTACAAAAAAGCCCTGGGTGTTGACAACAAACAAGGTAAACAGAATAACAAGCAAAAGGTGGGTGTGGCTGGATAACCACACTTCTAGTAACATGGGGGTGTGGCCTAATATGCTAATGAGCTGTGCTGTCAGGGGTGTGGACTAATATGCTAATGAGTGCCTGCTGTTGGGTATGGCCTATTATGCTAATGAGTTCTTGCTGGGCTTTTTCTACAAAAAGAGCCCTGGAATAAGATTCGAATCTAAGTCAATATCAAACCCTCAAAACGGGTCTGTTGGAAATACTAAAAGAGACACAAGGTAACCGGACACTCATCTTTACCCTTCTTCCAAATTAGGGCTTTTTAAAAAACATATCATTAAGCTGTAGAACAAACACTGGTAGCAAGACGATAAAAAAACAGAGGAGAAACTCAAAGAGATATAAGCTAACTGGCAACATAGAAACACAGAAATGTAAACTACAATTTAGTGAAATCTGTTAGAGAGCAAAAATCTCCTTTTCCACCACCTCCTTCTCCCCCCCTTTTCTGTCCATTGCCCTACCGAAACCGAAAAAACAACCTCAACTATAAAACACCTGCTTTTAATTCTCACCCACTCATCCAAATTGCCCCTCCGGCGATTAAGAACTGAAAGCAATCCATTTAAAAGTCCAATTTTTTTAAAAAACCAACAACACAGCTCTTATACAACACCTGGGGATCTTGGTGGTAAACACAGACAGAAAACTCGCATTCATATACAAAAGTGTCTTCACAACCCCAGCGCTTAATTCGAGTTTTAATACTCCCGGGGGTCATTTGAGCACCGCAAAGTTTCCCTCTTCCCGTTGTGGGTTGGCCTCCTCTTTGGCCTCTATAGTGGGGGAGTGATGAAATCATCCAGTTCACCTGAAACCTCCTGCCCCGTCTCCCAATGCAAGCTTTGGAGTTAGCAGGGGGAAAGAATTACAGGTGTTTCCCAAACAGTTAATCTCCTCCTGTAGGCACTGCTATGAAGAACCCACAATGCAGAACGTGGTGGTACGTGTACCTAGTTCTTCGTTCTCGTGGTCCTTCTTACACACCCAGGGAAATGCTGATCAACCACATTGGGGTCAGGAAGCAATTTAGCTGGATATCCTGGAGGGGTTTTTTTTTGTCATCTTCTGGACACGGAGCAATGCTCCCTCTAAGCTGTGGGCAAAAATTCTACCTTGCGAGCTACCAGCATTAAAGTTAGGAGCGAGCGATTTGCCTGCTGCATAAATGAGTTAGCTCTGGAGCCCTCCTTCCTGAGTGAAGACAAAAATGGCTAAAAAACTGTGAGCTGGCTCACATTAACTCAGCTTAGAGGGAACACTGGTCACGGCAGGTGTGGAGGGGAGGCATTTGTGGATTTCCTGCATTGTGCAGGGGGTTGGACTGGATGACCACGGAGGTCCCTTCCAACTCCATGATTCTATTTTAAAGTGAGTGTGGAAAAGGAAAGGGGCGTATGTGTGGGTTTTCTTACATGAAGCTGGTTCATTAGTTCAGTTAGGTCTTCACTAATTGCTATTTATGGATGGGAGGGCGATCTGGCTGCGACATCCGTCACCCCTTTGATCGCCAGGGTTGATTCGGCTGATCTGGCTGGCTAGGCGGCAGTGTTCCCTCTAAGCTGAGTTAGTGCGAGCTAGCTCACAGTTCTCGAGCCTCTGGCTCACACATTTTTGTCTTGGCTCAGGAAGGAGGGCTCCAGAGCAAACTAGTTCATCCAGCAGCCAAATCTCTTGCTCACAACTTTCATGCCAGTAGCTCACAAAGTAGAATTTTTGCTCACAAGAACCCACAGCTTAGAGGGAACATTGCGGCGGGTGTCCCCCTCCCTCCCTCACCGCTCCATATGCGTCCCTCCGGAAGCTGCACGCTCGGTCGAAGAGGACGACCATCCCAGATAGAAGGAGTGTACCGTTCTTCGGTCAAGGGTACACGATAGCTATTTATTTTTTCTATTGTCATTGGACCAAACTTTCATTGATTCCTCTTTATTATGTATTATGCACCTGCCCAGAATAACTAGGGATGCCAGCCTCCAGGAGAGTCCTGGGGATCCCCCGGTATTATAGCTCATCTCCAGACTACAGAGATCAGTTCCCTTGCAGACAATGGACACTTTGGGGGGGGGGGGGCCCCACCTTTTTACCCCACTGTGGTCCCTGTCTTCCCCAGGCTCCATCCCCAAAGCTCCAGGAGTTTCTTCCCTGGACCTGGCAACCCTACTCATCCCCATCCCCCACTGGTGGCCAGAGGGAAGCTGACAGCCAGAACTTCATCAGCAACTCCACTTTTTGGACCTCTTTATACATTGTATATGCTTGTTGTTATATAGCATTGTAATAGATAAAAGGTTGCTCCAGCGCATACTTACAGCTTTTTTTTCTGGTGATACTGATACTCTTGGCTGCTGTGTGAGACAGAATGCTGGACTAGATGGACCACTGGTCTGATCCAGCAGGCTTCGGCCTCTATGCCCTGTTGTTGGCCCTCCAGAGGAGCTGGTTGGCCACTTTATGAGACAGGATGCTGGACTAGATGGACCCTCACTGGGCTGATCCAGCAGGGCTCTTCTTAGGTTCTTATCAGGGGAAGGCCTCGGCCTCTCTGCCCTGTTGCTGGCCCTCCAGAGGAACTGGTTGGCCGCTGTGTGAGACAGGATGCTGGACTAGATGGACCCTCACTGGGCTGATCCAGCAGGGCTCTTCTTAGGTTCTTATCAGGGGAAGGCCTCGGCCTCTCTGCCCTGTTGCTGGCCCTCCAGAGGAACTGGTTGGCC